AAAGATTTTACCAATCTTGGATTAACAGCTGAAAAAAGAAAAGTAGTGAAATATAACGACTGCGTCAAGATTAATACATAGTCGAGCATGGTTAATGTCATTCCCCCTAACCTCCTTTTGCAACTTGGCCTCAGATGGCTCCTTCCTCCTCTTCTTCTTTACTGGGACCTAGAACAATTGTAGTTCATCTACAGGCAACAAAACAATGACGAAAACAAAACCTCAGGTTCTTCCGCTAGGGGAACAGCTTCCTCTTGCAAGGCTAACACATCATCGACAGGAATATTCTCCTGCAGCATGACAGCGATATCATCATTGTCATTTTCAGTCAAGCTTACTTTAGGTGATCGGCTAAATAATGTCAAAGATCTCCAAAATCACTTGAAATTATAACATGAATACTTGCCTATTTACCTTATTGAGTTTGCTTTGGCTCTAGCAATCAGCTGCTCTAACTCCAAGAGTTTGTTGAAATTAGAATACTCACTGGATGGAAGTCTGATGTTCTTGTCCGGTATACCACCTGCAGATGATTACTTTAGGAGAAAAAACCAAGCTAAAAAGGAAACGGGGAAATAACCTGAAGTACTCGGTCCCGGTTCATCTAAAATTTCGATTTCCCTGAGTGGCGCGCTTCTTCGCATGGGTGACGGAGGTGAACATATGCTCTCATCTATCACTATTATGTCGTCATCATCGTCCATCGAGCCACCTTCAATGACAAATGAGGATTTTCAAAATACCTTTCAAACAAGACTTTCAATGGAGAAGCTTGAGATATGGGCAAAAAATAACGCTTTTTGATAAGAACTGGGATAATCATCATATTTGAAAAAAGTGGTACACTGACATTTATAATGAAAAAATGTGGAGAAATCCACTTGGATCCCTGATTACTGCTTAATGTAAAACGCGGTTTTAAGGGATAAAGGATAAAGCTCTGTTTTAGGAGAATTAAAGCGGGTTCGGTAACTTTGATGACAAATAATAGATCAAAGAAGAGATATATAAACTGAAGCAGAAGTGATATAGAACTGCAGATGCAAAAGTGTCAACCAAAAACCTTTGAAAATTCTGAAATGCAGCTCTCACAACAGTACGCCTAATTCGCGCAACTTGTGCGGAGCTCAGCATTGCACTGAATGTGCCGGAGCTCCTTTTTTTAGCTGCTTGAATTCATTTTTCAACTTTCTACTGGCGCTTACTAGTGTTATCTAACAACAAAAAATTTCTTTTATCTGTATATGCAAGAGTAAAATAACTGAAGAATAATAAACAGCACCGTGGTAGCGTTCAATCTTTTTTGATTTGTTTAATTTTTGAATATTCTAGATTTTCAGAATTGCTTATTCGGTTCAAGTGGTATAATGACAGTTTAGTTCCACTTATATAATTTTCCCTCATAATTGATCCATAAAATCATCCCTACCTTTTTCCTTTTACGAATGTAGAGTTGATGTTACAGTTCAATCTGGCTTCGTGGACCTATCATTTACGGAAGCGTTTCTCGCTATACTTCTGGCCTATATTAGCTGGAAGTGAGTTCAAATTCATTAGCTGCTTTCTTCTTTAAAAACTATTCTATTCAGCTGCAATATTCTTGGATTGGAATCACACTAGGCAATGGAAGGCTAACGGCAGAAAATCAGTCTTACAAACCCAAATTCTTTCTCAGGACCCAACAGCCGAACATGTAGTACTCCCGTCTACTCGCTCATAACTTGTCACTGTGGTTATAGTTCTTTACATTAGATTTGTGCCTGTATTACTTGGGTAACTGAACATCTCTACCTCTTGAAAGAGATTTGTTTCTACTTGTGCATAGTAATGAAGTTAGCTTGTACTTATAGGTTTTATGTTAAGCTTTTGCAAGTTATTTTGGCAATTTTAATAAAGCATTATAATACTCTATCACTGTAGAGCAGGAGTTTTGATTGCAACACCAAGACCACTTCTCATCACTGAATGAGTAACCTTGCAATGTTGGACTAAATAACATCAAATTTGTTCTTCTAAAGCTCGAAATAGACATCAAATGAGTCAACACTCATGGCAGTGGTAATGTCCGAAGGAAGTTAGATGGCGAGATTCTCGGAAGCTAATGATGATAGAATTCTACAAGCGTTTGTATCTACTTGTTAATA